CAAGTCCGCCCGCTCTCTTCAGCATATGCATACGACACGGTGCATGTGAAATGACAGCACAGTAAGCACAGCAGGCACAAGCAGCACAGCAGGCACGCACCAGCAGGAAAGCTCCCCAGCCGTCTAGAGGCGAGCACTTCACCTCGACCTGCTGACACGACAGGTGCAGGACGCCAGGTGGAGGGCAGGCCGAATGGCAGATAGGTAAGAGCAAGGAAACATACCGAAGAGAGCAACATAATGCAGAGGGAGTAGCAGATAGCAAAGAGCAGAAACAGGGACATACTGGTGGAAGGATGGTCATCCCGTCTCTCCCCTTCTCTACTTCCTTATTCTCGGATCTGTAATATCCACCCTTCCCTCCCTCCCTACCTCCCTCATCATCCCATGGCACGGCACCTGCACGGAGTGGCAGCGGGAGAGCTGCATGTTGCAGCACGACTGTGGCTCCGTGCTGCCATGTGCATGCGGGCACACGCACGCAGAGAAGGGCAGCAGGGGGCAGCGGGGGGCACAGGGGGGCAGAGGAGGGCAGGGGAGGGCAGGGGAGGGCAGGGGAGGGCAGGGGAGGGCAGGGAGGGCAGGGAGGGCAGGGGAGGGCAGAGGGGGGCAGAGGAGGGCAGAGAGGGGCAGAGAGGCAGGGGAGGGCAGGGGAGGGGGTTCGGCTTGAGATGAGGCATGACACACGGCGGGATACAGAGGCACGTGTGAGGGCTCTCACTCCGTGCAGTGATGCCTCTCTCTCACCCCGTGCACTGCCCCTCTCTCTCACCCCGTGCACTGCCCCTCTCTCTCACCCCATGCAGTGCCCCTCGCTCTCACCCCGTGCACTGCCCCTCGCTCTCACCCCGTGCACTGCCCCTCGCTCTCACCCCATGCAGTGCCCCTCGCTCTCACCCCGTGCACTGCCCCTCGCTCTCACCCCGTGCACTGCCCCTCTCTCTCACCCCATGCAGTGCCCCTCGCTCTCACCCCGTGCACTGCCCCTCGCTCTCACCCCGTGCACTGCCCCTCGCTCTCACCCCATGCAGTGCCGGCAGGTGTCGGGGTCGCACTCACGGCCGGCGCGGCGGCAGATGCACGAGGTGGTGTTGCACTTGCCCTTGCACGCGCACCCGGGGAACCTGTTGGGGCAGTCCGTGCCGCACCTGCCACGCACCCATGGGGGGCCGGGGACAGTGCAGTGGTTGAGGGTGCAGGTGGGTGATTGGATTGGGTGGGTGGGTGCGAGGGACTCACAGGTGCATGCATGAGACTTTCACACGTGTGCGTCTTGGGTCTTCATGTGTTCATGTGTTAGTGTGTTAGTGTGTTCATGTGTTAGTGTGTTGGTGTGTTCATGTTACATCTGTTATTGTGTTAGTGTGTTAATGTGTTCATGTGTTATTCTGTTAGTTTGTTCATGTGTTATTGTGTTAGTACGTTAGTGTGTTCATGTGTTATTCTGTTACTGTGTTCATGTGTTATTGTGTTAGTATGTTAGTGTGTTCATGTGTTACTATGTTACTGTGTTCATGTATTATTGTGTTAGTGTGCTCATGTGTTATTCTGTTAGTGTGTTCATGTGTTATTCTGTTAGTGTGTTCATTTGTTATTCTGTTAGTGTGTTCATGTGTTATTGTATGATTGTATTAGTGTGTTAGTGTGTTCATGTGTTATTCTGTTAGTGTGTTCATGTGTTATTGTATTATTGTGTTAGTGTGTTAGTGTGTTCATGTGTTATTCTGTTAGTGTGTTTATGTGTTATTGTGTTATTGTGTTAGTGTAGTAGTGTGTTCATGTGTTATTTTGTTAGTGTGTTCATGTGTTATTGTGTTATTGTGTTTGTGTGTTAGTGTGTTCATGTGTTATTCTGTTAGTGTGTTCATGTGTTATTGTGTTATTGTGTTAGTGTGTTAGTGTGTTCATGTGTTATTTTGTTAGTGTGTTCATGTGTTATTGTGTTAGTGTGTTAGTGTGTTCATGTGTTATTCTGTTAGTGTGTTCATGTGTTATTCTGTTAGTGTGTTCATGTGTTATTGTGTTATTGTATTAGTGTGTTAGTGTGTTAGTGTGTTCATGCGTTATTTTGTTAGTGTGTTCATGTGTTATTGTGTTATTGTGTTAGTGTGTTAGTGTGTTCATGTGTTATTCTGTTAGTGTGTTCATGTGTTATTCTGTTAGTGTGTTCATGTGTTATTCTGTTAGTGTGTTCATGTGTTATTGTATTATTGTGTTAGTGTGTTAGTGTGTTCATGTGTTATTCTGTTAGTGTGTTCATGTGTTATTCTGTTAGTGTGTTCATGTGTTATTGTGTTATTGTGTTATTGTGTTAGTGTGTTAGTGTGTTCATGTGTTATTTTGTTAGTGTGTTCATGTGTTATTGTGTTATTGTGTTAGTGTGTTAGTGTGTTCATGTGTTATTCTGTTAGTGTGTTCATGTGTTATTCTGTTAGTGTGTTCATGTGTTATTGTGTTATTGTGTTAGTGTGTTAGTGTGTTCATGTGTTATTTTGTTAGTGTGTTCATGTGTTATTGTGTTATTGTGTTATTGTGTTAGTGTGTTCATGTGTTATTCTGTTAGTGTGTTCATGTGTTATTGTGTTATTGTGTTAGTGTGTTAGTGTGTTCATGGTTATTCTGTTAGTGTGTTCATGAGCACATGTGCAAGGCAACCGACCGCATGAGATATGCAAGCCATGGGGATCCAGTGCGAGTGCAACCACTGGAACAGCAACACGCCTCCCCCACCAACGCGCTACCTGCGCTGCTGCCCCCACCAACCCGCTACCTGCACTGCTTCTCGCAGAAGTTCTTTCCCTTGCGGCACTCACAGCTGCCCCGCGCGCACTCCCCCGCACACGCACATGGGGTGTATGCCTCCTGCCAGGCACGGGGGGCCACGGGGGACACATGGGCGGGCCGAGGGGTGTGGTGCATGGAGTGTAGAGGCATTGGGATTGAGCCATGTGTGCGGATGAAACACTGCTGCAAACACCGCCACACACCTCCCAGCACCACCGTTGCACTCACCACTCTGCCGGCTGCACTCACCACTCTGCCGGCTGCACTCACCACTCTGCCGGCTGCACTCACCACTCTGCCGGCTGCACTCACCACTCTGCCGGCTGCACTCACCACTCTGCCGGCTGCACTCACCACTCTGCCGGCTGCACTCACGAGTTGGCAGGGGGGAATGTGCGCCCGCTGCTGCAGCAGCGCCTTCACGGCAGCAGAGGGTGGCGCCACGGGCGCTGGCGCGTGCACGCAGCACTCTGGGCGAGGCGGGGTGCGAGGCACACCCGGCTGTGTGCCGGCTGCATGTGAGGCCTGCGACACAGCAGGCATGGGGAACACAACTGAGGCGCCTTGAGTGAGAGGAACGGAATGAGGCCCCTCGTGCTCACTGCTGGAGTGAGGCACGCATTGAGAGCATGCTGGCACTGCCACGCATTGAGAGCATGCTGGCACTGCCACGCATTGAGAGCATGCTGGCACTGCCACGTATTGAGAGCATGCTGGCACTGCCACGTATTGAGAGCATGCTGGCACTGCCACGCATTGAGAGCATGCTGGCACTGCCACGCATTGAGAGCATGCTGGCACTGCCACGCATTGAGAGCATGCTGGCACTGCCACGTATTGAGAGCATGCTGGCACTGCCACGTATTGAGAGCATGCTGGCACTGCCACGCATTGAGAGCATGCTGGCACTGCCACGCATTGAGAGCATGCTGGCACTGCCACGCATTGAGAGCATGCTGGCACTGCCACGCATTGAGAGCATGCTGGCACTGCCACGCATTGAGAGCATGCTGGCACTGCCACGCATTGAGAGCATGCTGGCACTGCCACGCATTGAGAGCATGCTGGCACTGCCACGTATTGAGAGCATGCTGGCACTGCCACGTATTGAGAGCATGCTGGCACTGCCACGTATTGAGAGCATGCTGGCACTGCCACGTATTGAGAGCATGCTGGCACTGCCACGTATTGAGAGCATGCTGGCACTGCCACGTATTGAGAGCATGCTGGCACTGCCACGTATTGAGAGCATGCTGGCACTGCCACCCACTCCCACCTCTTGAAGGCGCAGCAGCAAGGCGTGTATGTCGCTGCAGGTGTGACGGCCCCTCTGCAGCGTTGCTGCTAGCACACAGCTGGGAGTGAGGAGATGGAGAGAGCCAATAGGAGAGAACAGAGAGGAGAGCGAGGTGCGGTGATGCAGGATGGTGGTGGGAATGGGCATAAGGAAGAGGAAGAAGTCAGCCATGTGAAAACAAGGGACGCACGTTAGGAATGCACGTGTAAGGGAAGATAGGAGTGCACGTGTAAGGGAAGCTAGGAGTGCACGTGTAAGGGAAGATAGGAGTGCACGTGTAAGGGAAGATAGGAGTGCACGTGTAAGGGAAGATAGGAGTGCACGTGTAAGGGAAGATAGGAGTGCACGTGTAAGGGAAGATAGGAGTGCACGTGTAAGGGAAGATAGGAGTGCCCGTGTAAGGGAAGATAGGAGTGCCCGTGTAAGGGAAGATAGGAATGCACGTGTAAGGGAAGATAGGAGTGCACGTGTAAGGGAAGATAGGAGTGCCCGTGTAAGGGAAGATAGGAGTGCCCGTGTAAGGGAAGATAGGAATGCACGTGTAAGGGAAGATAGGAGTGCCCGTGTAAGGGAAGATAGGAATGCACGTGTAAGGGAAGATAGGAGTGCACGTGTAAGGGAAGATAGGAGTGCACGTGTAAGGGAAGATAGGAGTGCACGTGTAAGGGAAGATAGGAGTGCACGTGTAAGGGAAGATAGGAGTGCCCGTGTAAGGGAAGATAGGAGTGCCCGTGTAAGGGAAGATAGGAATGCACGTGTAAGGGAAGATAGGAGTGCACGTGTAAGGGAAGATAGGAGTGCACGTGCCTGCTGTAGCCGACGATTGGGAATGCGATCTGAAGCATCAACTTGTCGTCGTCACTCCAGCTGCCCTCGTGGCTGGCAGCACCGCCTCCCTGCAGCCCGTGATAGGCATGGCATGGGCGAGGCATGGGCGAGGCATGGGCGAGACAGAGGCGAGGAGGATGGTGAAGCGACATATGGCAGACGATGGGGTGCAGTGAAAGCAGAGCAGCAGCAAGCAGCACAGTGCAGAGACTGTGACAGAGCGAGGAGGAACGGAAAGCAGTGCATGGTGCCGACGACCGAGCGAGATTCGCAATAGCAATGGCAGATGGCAGATGGCATACCAGCACGTGGCAGATGGCATACCAGCACGTGGCAGATGGCATACCAGCACGTGGCAGATGGCATACCAGCACGTGGCAGATGGCATACCAGCACGTGGCAGATGGCATACCAGCACGTGGCAGTGCAGGCTACAGGCCACAGCGGGTGGTTGGGGTGGCTGCGAGGGAGGGATGAAGGGCGCCGTGAGGTCCTGCCATGCCAGCCAGCACAGCACAGCACAGCACAGCACAGCACAGCACAGCACAGGCATGGGGGTGGGCGCGTGGGTCGGTTGTGAGATCCCCAGGCGTGCTTTGGATGCCTCATAAGAAGGGCGAGGGCTGTGGCGTGTGGAGTGGAAAGACGTAACTGGCAACTCGTGCACAGTGGAGAGGGCAGCAAGGGAGGGCGGCAGGGGAGGGCGGCAGGGGAGGGCGGCAGGGGAGGGTGGCAGGGGAGGGGTTGGGCGGCAAGTTAGGGCGGCAGGGGTGGGCGGCAGGGGTGGGCAGCAGGGAAGGGCACCGTAAATGTGGTGTTGGGGCTGTTGTCGTGCCGCTGACAATCAAAGCACTGTACGGTGAGATAGGGGCGATGTTTGGCATGCATGCACAGGTACGCAGGTGTCACACAGGTGTCACACACATGGACGGACATACACGCATACGCACGCACATGCAGACATACACAGGCATGCGCACACACACACACACACACACACACACACACACACACACACACACACACACACACACACACATGCATGAACAGCCGTATGGGAAGATGGATGGTCAAGCTGGCCCCAAGGCACGAGTTATCTCAGCAATCAAAGAGACAGCTTCCAAACACGCAAGCAGGTGGCAAGCAAGCCACTGTGTGGCGACATAGAGGCGGCTCACCCAGCAGACGCAGCAGAAGAGGCGGTCGAACGACAGTGCCGAGTCCCACAGCTCCCCTCCCTCCCGCCCCTCCGCTGCTCGCTGCCCCCCTGCCATCACACCACCCCACCACCACGCCAGCATGCGAGCAGCGTAGACATTAGATGTGATGCTTGCAAATGTGGAGTGTGCTGTGGGCACGGCGTGCTGTGGGCACGGCGTGCTGTGGGCACGGCGTTGCTGGCTGCATGGCATGGCAGGCCCCATGCCCCATTCAAGGCCCCATGTGCGTCACACGATGAGCAGGAGCATGAGCATGAGCATGAGCATTTTAACAAGACGCGCGTGGAGCGATCGAGCGGTGAAGGCGGAGGGAGAGGCAGCTCACAGTAAGCGAGTGAGCGGCGCTGCCCGTCCACCTCCTGGAACTTGCTGCCTCGCACCACAGCACGGGCCATGGGCGATGGGGGATGGGCGATGGGCAACGGGGAATGGGTGATGAGGAATGAGCGACGAGAAACTGGCAACGCGAATGAGCAGCGGGAAATGAGTTGCTACTAATAACAGCGAGGAAGGAAAAGTGGGAGTGTCAGCGAGGTCGCCTCGGTATTGGGAGAGAATGAGAGAATGAGAAGACTGGTGGGCACCTGAAAGGCAGCTCCTCGGGAGCACACGAGGCCCCTCCCTGGCTGGTGGTGGCCGTGGCCCTCGTGCCCGTCCCCTCCTCCTCGCCTGGCTTCCCCTGCTCGTCCATGTCCACCCGCACCCCGTTGCTGCGATGCATGCTCGCACACACACGTGCATGCACACATGCACACACGCGCACACACACACACACACGCACGCACACACACACAAAATCACACTCGCACACACGCGCGAACTGAAACAACAGAGATACTGGCACGCACATAAAGCACTGAGGCAGAAATGTGGCTGAGAATGCCGGCTCACTCCTTGCCGACTCACTCGCTGCCGGCTCACTCGCTGCCGGCTCACTCGCTGCCGGCTCACTCGCTGCCGGCTCACTCGCTGCCGACTCACTGGGAGGCAACGCGCCAGGCAGTGTAGCGGGGCAGGGCCGTCACCGGCGGCAGCATCGAGATGCCGCTCGCCTTCCTCGCCACCTTGCCCCTCGCCGCGTCCTTCCCTCCCCCTTCCCGCGCCCCGACCGCATCTTCTCCCAAGCAGGTACCCTGCGGGGGCACTCCACTGCGCCCGTCCGCACCGGGCGCCGCCACGACCTGCGTGGTGTGCTGCCCGTGGCACCACCCGCCGCGCGCCTGGGTGCGTCTGGCCCACGCCAACGCCACGTAGCCCTCGTTGCTCCTCACCACCCTCGCAGCCTCCTCCCCCGACAATCCCATCTGCCGCCCCACCTGCTCCGCCTGCCCCGCCTGCTCCGCCTGCCCCGCCTGCCCCGCCTGCCCCGCCTGCCCCGCCTGCCCCGCCTGCCCCGCCTGCCCCGCCTGCCCTGCGTGCACCTCCAACCCGCCTGTCTGTTGCACCGCCTTCCCCGTCTCCCCTCCCTGCCTCGCCTGCCTCGTCTGCCCCGCCTGCCCAGCACACACGTGGGGACATGCACGGCGGCATTGGGGTATGCATGACGGCATTGGGTCATGCAAGGCAGCATTGGGGCATGCATGGCGGCATTGGGGCATGCATGGCGGCATTGGGGCATGCAAGGCGGCATTGGGGCATGCAAGGCGGCATTGGGGCATGCAAGGCGGCATTGGGGCATGCAAGGCGGCATTGGGGCATGCAAGGCGGCATTGGGGCATGGAAAGGCGGCATTGGGGCATGCAAGGCGGCATTGGGGCATGCAAGGCGGCATTGGGGCATGCAAGGCGGCATTGGGGCATGCAAGGCGGCATTGGGGCATGCAAGGCGGCATTGGGGCATGCAAGGCGGCATTGGGGCATGCATGGCGGCATTAGGGCATGCATGGCGGCATTGGGGCATGCAAGGCGGCATTGGGGCATGCAAGGCGGCATTGGGGCATGCAAGGCGGCATTGGGGCATGCAAGGCGGCATTGGGGCATGCAAGGCGGCATTGGGGCATGCAAGGCGGCATTGGGGCATGCAAGGTGGCATTGGGGCATGCAAGGCGGCATTGGGGCATGCATGGCGGCATTGGGGCATGCAAGGCGGCATTGGGGCATGCAAGGGGGCATTGGGGCATGCAAGGGGGCATTGGGGCATGCATGGCGGCATTGGGGCATGCATGGCGGCATTGGGGCATGCAAGGCGGCATTGGGGCATGCAAGGGGGCATTGGGGCATGCAAGGGGGCATTGGGGCATGCATGGCGGCATTGGGGCATGCATGGCGGCATTGGGGCATGCAAGGCGGCATTGGGGCATGCATGGCGGCATTGGGGGCATTGGGGCATGCATGGCGGCATTGGGGCATGCAAGGCGGCATTGGGGCATGCATGGCGGCATTGGGGCATGCAAGGGGGCATTGGGGCAGGCATGGCGGCATATGCAAGGCGGCATTGGGGCATGCAAGGCGGCATTGGGGCATGCAAGGCGGCATTGGGGCATGCAAGGCGGCATTGGGGCATGCATGGCGGCATTGGGGCATGCATGGCGGCATTGGGGCATGCAAGGCGGCATTGGGGCATGCAAGGCGGCATTGGGGCATGCAAGGCGGCATTGGGGCATGCATGGCGGCATTGGGGCATGCAAGGCGGCATTGCATTGGGCCACGAGCGACGAACCATTCTCACATCGGCGCGGCTCCACAGGAAGGAGAGCACCTTGAGCTCCACAGGAAGGAGAGCACCTTGAGCTCCACAGGAATGGGAGCACCTTGAGCTCTCAGAATGTCGTTGCGTAAACTACACGCGGCCTCAACCTACCTCAGAGTGGCGCCCAGCCATGGCAGTGGATGAAGCCGGCGACGAGCTGAGCGCCAATCACCGATGCGTCTGGCAGCACACATGAGGGCGATAGACAGAGGGTGACACAATGCTAGAAAATAAAGCGACAGCGCCGCAATAGATGGCAGTCCGAAGTCACTCATAGATTAAAAAAGCACCCCGGCCTTTCTGCCTCCGTCGCACCCATTTTCGCTCTCCTGGCTTCGTCGCCCACTTGCCTTTTCGTCGATGAACGACGGTCGTGAGTGCGACGATCGAAGGCTGGGGCGAGGGCCGAATAAATAGAAGAGTACAAACGCTGTCACTCCCTGGGAGTGCCCAAGATGTTGAGTGAGACCACGCACTGCGCTAGAGAGTGCTCGACGCGAGCGGCAGCAGTTCAAACCAAATAAACGAAACAGGTGTGTGAACAAAGGGAAAACTGGTTTTGTGCTGGCTTCGGCTCTTGTGGGAAGAGCTAAATTTCAAATTTTCGAAAGCCGAAGGGCGAAGCGCAATGCTGATGAGACGATTTTGGTGCAGATGTTGCAAACCAGGTGCACCGCACCGCACCGAGGCGCAACGGTGAGTACCAGCCCGCGCCAGTCGCGCGACTCGTTACAAATACATGAACTGGTGAAGTAGTAAGTGGCTAAGCAGAAGATTATAACACATTGCATAACACTTCAGAACATTGTCAATCAGCTCAATGTGCATTTATTAAAGTTATTCTTTACGGCATATATCCAGACACAAAATACGACGTCTTCATTGGTTTATTTGATTATGCTGCTATACTTTTACAACCTTCAGCTGAATGGCTATTACCGTATAAACATTATGTAGAAATGCACGAAAACATGCTCCAAATACAGAGCTTACGCGCTCGACGTGCGCTTCTCTCCCGTTCTGTGCGCGCTCTGCTGCATCTCTCGCCGTGCGTCGGACCCTAAACCCCCGTCGCCTCCTTCCTCCGTCGTGCTCTCCCGACCGCGCCTCCCCCTTCCGCCTTCACCCCGTCTCACGCTCTCCACCCAATTCAAATTTCGACTCCCCCTCAGATCTCTTTCCATTTTCTCTCAGATCTTGTAGACCCGATATTTTCTAAGATATCTGTGCGCTTTCTGTTGCTGGTCAACTGAGCCATGGATGGGCAGAACAACGCGCAGGCAGGCGGCAAGGCCAGTCAACCGGGCGGTAGTGGCGAGCGGCGGGAAGTGCCGAACCGGCAGTTCTTCCTGCAGGTGGCGAACGCGTCGACGGCCATGCAGGTGGTGGCCGGCGAGATCTCCGCGCTCTGCCGCCTCGCCGCCGGTTAGTGCTACGTCGCCTGCATTTGCCTCACGGCCGTTCGTTCTGCACTTGAGCGTGCTTAGCCACATGCGATCTTATTCGTCTCTTTCGTGCACTCCGCGTGCCCCTCCTCGTTTTCTTCTGCATGGTTTCACCCGCATTGCCGCCGGAGCTGCATTGTTTTCCGCGTCGCACATTGTCAAGCCTCGTACATCTTTCCCCTCGTCACGTATCTCTCGTGCACCTTGCGGCAGACGGGGTGGCCATATCGGCGATCAGTCCGCTGTTCAACACCTTCGCCGCCTATCCCAGCTTCGACCCGCTTCACTTCAAGGCCGCAGCTCTCGCAGTTGCCGCCGCCGCCTCTTCGCTCCCCGGGGCCGGACCGCCCGCCGCAACTACCGCGACTGGTGCTGCTGCGAAAGCGGTTGCGGGGCCGAGCGGCGGGAAGGAGGAGAAGGCGAAGAAGGAGAAGCGGCCGCTGTCCGCCGTGCAGATGGCGATGACGCAGTTCCTCTCCGAAGAGCGCGACCGCCTCCTCGCGCAGGGCGCCGCCTCCACCCCCGGCGAGGCGTACCAGATGGCGAGGCGGCGGTGGAACGAGATGCGCGAGGCGAACGGGCAGGGGAAGAAGAAGGGCAAGGGGAAGAAGCAGGGTGAGGATCACGAGGAGCGCGAGGAAGGCGAGGAGCGCGAGGAAGGCGAGGAAAGGGAGGAAGGTGAGGAAGTTGAGGAGGTGCCGACTCAGCTGGGCGATGCGGTGATGGAGGATGGGGAGGAGAAGGAGGAGGAGGAGGAGGAGAAGGAGGAGAAGGAGGAGAACGAGGAGAAGGAGGAGAAGGAGGAGAAGGAGGAGGAGGAGAAGGAGGAGAAGGAGGAGAAGAAGGAGAAGGAGAAGGAGAAGAAGGAGAAGGAGGAGGAGGAAAAGGCGAAAGAGGCGAAGAAAAAGGATGAGAAGAAGGATAAGAGCAAGGGCAAGGGGCGTGGAGAGGAGGAAGCAACGGGGAAGAAGTCGGGCAAGGGGAAGGATAAGGTGGCGGAGGACGACGGCCCCGCGGGTGGCGGCAGCAGCGCGGGTGGCGGCAGCAGCGCGGGGAAGAGGCGCAAGAGGAAGCAGGGTGACGAGCACGTGGCTGCTTCGCCTGCTACCGCGCCAGGGCCCTCTGCTGCTGCCGCTGCTGCTTCTCCCGCTGCTGCCCGTTCTCCTGCGGGTACTCCTGCCCGCACTCCTGCTGCTGGCACTCCGGGCGGTGAGGCGAAGGCAGGCAGCTCAGGCAAGCAAGCGAAGAAGAAGAAGAAGGCGCAGGCAGGGGCAACGCCGGACAAGGCTAAGTGAGTGAAACCGGCTGTGGTGAATGGTTGCCCACTGACATGCTGCACAGTTGTGATTCCGTTAGACAGCTAGAAACAAGAGTTTGGATAACTAACAGGACTGTGTGCAGGTGTGCCTCTATTTAGAGATACTGAACCGACTGACCCATAAGGTCATTGCTCGTCCTTCCATAGCAGTGTGTTGTTATGTATGGTGCAATTAGAGTATGGTAGATTTGTGTGTTCCTTTTAACCTGTAACAGCAAATAATCACAATGTCCCTTCCCGTTAGATGTGTAACAGATAAACAGTAATGATATTTCCTTGTTTGTGGATGCATCAGCAAAAAGACAAACTGCTGTTAGCCAAGTTGGATTACTGTACTTAAGGTAATTCCTCAGGTGTTATAACAAAATCTCTCTATAATGTTCACCCGAGCTCAGCGCCTAGGGAGCTTTCATGAGTTTGCCCTGAAAATGTTTACATCATATTTTGGCCTGAAATTCAGGATGGTTCGACATTTTGCCCTGAGATTATATAGGAGGGGGGGGAGGAGGGGAAGGAAGAAGGGAGGGGGGTTACTTTCCCAGAGGAATTTTGTCCCACCGTCTCACAACAGACCCTAAACCCTTGCGAACTATTTGCGATGCAGAGCGCACTGTGGTAGGGTAGCGCTGTTGTACGCATTCAGGTGCTGTAATTATCCTGCCTTGAGAGAGCACGGTACCGTATGAAGTCGTGCATGTGCGATGAATATCAACAGTGATGTTATAACCAAGAATCGTAGTGGATATCGGCATCAGCCGGATATAAAACAGTGTTGAATAGTAGACACGGGTTGTCTATTATACGGGTGTCTCTTATAAACAGGGTAACCTCATTATAAGACACCTATTTGTGTGTAGGGGCAAATGGCAAATGTATAACGAGGAAGTATCTTCTAAACGGATTTTTGTCCATTTATAAGACTGATTTTTTAATGTATGAGATAAGACATACATGTCTTATATTCGGGCGATGACGGGTAGGATAAGGTTGCCAATATGAGAGAATCTGAGAAGTCTCAGTAATGACCTTGTTAATACCGTATTACCCCGGATAGTAGGGCATATGCGCTTATAATAAAATCGGTTTTTTTTGTAGGGGCGCTTTTAATTGAGTATCGGCCATAAGCGACGGCGCTTATATAATGACAAATACATAAATACAACTTAAACGCATTAAATTGTACATTTCCGTCTCGTAGGTTCAATCGAGTCGACATTCAATAGCGTCCTAAATTTGAATCGCGTGAGGGCGAATCTCTGACGCTGCACATAGCTTTTCGCACGTCAATTTGCCCATGTGCCACCTCATCCTGACTGGACGCGAAACCAGTCAGGACCTCTAAAGTCAAACGAAGTGAAAATGGGTGCTTACTCGCTTGAATTTCGAAATTCGTTACTGTTTTAATCAGGATTGAAAGAATAAAATTGTACATGCGCTTATAATAAATCAGGGTTTTCCAGGGAGGGCGCTTATAATCGAGGAACGACCATAAGCGCCATGCTCCAGATATAGGCGCCGGCGCATTTAATCCGACGGCGCCTATATCCGGGGCCATACGGTAAAATGAAAGAGAACAAGATGATAATAAGATAAGAGTACAAGGGTATAAATAGCAAACCTTGTGATCAGACTCAGCACCTGGAGGAGAAGGAGTGGTCAGTGTGTACAGGCTCGACCCTGGCTGACGTGTAAAGGTAGCCAGGTGACGACCCGTGCTAGCCTCTGTGCAGTGCGTCACTCGCTGACGAGCAGGGGTGAACTGGTGGACTCCCGCATCCTGTAGGTCAGCACCACTCACCAAGTTCGTAGAGAACGAGGGGAGGTAGAGACCAGACAGGGTGCCAGAGGGAGCCGCCGGACGCGGGAGGACTGTGGAGAAGCGAGACAGGACAGGACCCCCAGAGGGGTCAGCCAGGGAAACCGCAACCGGCCGACTGAGCGGCGTGAGTGTGGTGCGGTCCCGAAAGAAAGAGCGAGACGCTCCAGAGTCAAGAGTGAAGGTGTGGGAGGCCGAAGCCGACGCAGTACATGAGAGCGCAGACGCACTAGTACCTGAGAGAGCAGCCTCACCAGTACCTGAGAGCACAGACGCACTGGCACCTAGAGCAGAAGCCTCACCGGCACCTAGAGCAGCAGTACCAATGCCCGGGTCGGGCGGGAAACACCGGTAACAGTCACCCTCATCACTAATGGTCACAGCATACATGGCAGCAAGAATAGCATCAAAATCAAGATCAAAGATAGCTACACCAGCCCTAGACAGCTCTCCCCAGCGGGGGATCTCCGCGGCCTCCGGGAACTGCTGGCGCCAAGCGTCCGTCAGGCGGCCAAAGCAGCGCTGGGCGGTGTGGGTGCCCCCACACTGCTCTCCAGCGCGGTCGCCAGTGCGGAGAACGTAGGTGCAGGGACCAAAACCCCCACCGCGCTGACGCTGCGTGTACCACTCACGGAGCTGCTGAGGGGTGGGGACGTCGCGAGAGCGCTGCTGCTGCTGCTGCTGCTGCTGCTGCTGGCGCTGACCTCCCCCAGTGCTGCTCCGCTGCGAAGCTCCACTCCGACCACCTCCACCTCCGCCACCCCCGCCTCCGCCTCCACCGCCCCCGCCTCCGCCTCCACCGCCGCCACCTCCGCCACCTCCGCTACCACCGCCACCGCCGCCGCCACCCCCGCCTCCACTGCCACCACTAGCACCCCCACCCCCGGTACCACCTCCACCGCCACCCCCACTCCCTCCGCCGCCTCCACCTCCACCTCCACCGCCCCCACTGGCCCCACCCGCTCCCTTGCCCCCCTTGCCCTTGCCAGAGCGGCGTCTCCCGCTAGGGGCAGACGCCGCACCGACCGACTCAAGACCAACGAGGTCGGCCGCAGCGGCAGAGGCGACAGAGGGCAGGAGAGGGGAAGGAGAACACCCCTCAAAGATGGGGGCGCGGGGGTCACCTCAAGAGGCTCCTACAGACTGTGAGGGCCTTCTCGAGGCTGTCGACTGTGAGGGTGGTGGGACAGACCGCGAGGAAGTGGTCCCGGACTACACGAAGGGAGTCAGGGAGGCGAGTGACTAAGAAATAGAGAGTGATGTACATGGGGGGGGGGTTCTTGGCGCAGAAGTCAGCAGGAAGCGCAGCGCGGTAGCGAGTGTCACTAGTGCGGAGGTGCGTGATGAGATCAGCGACAGTGGGAAAGGCGGCAAGGCCAGGGAAGAGGAAGGGGAGCATGAGGCGGCTCAGTGCAGAAGTGGGAGGGGAGGAGTAGCGCGCAACTACAGCGTCGTACAAGGTGTGGGCACTCTTGTACTAGCTAAAGTGCGCGCGCTCAGCGGTAGGCAAGTGGCGACGCACAGCAAGACGTGCAGCAGCATCGCGCGTGGCCCACTGTGAGCGAACAGTGGCGTCAGCATCAGCAGCAGGGGCAGGGACGGCACCAGAGGTGAGGTCAAAGAGAGACAGACCGTCCGCCCTATCGCACTGTAAAAACAGCTGCAGGTCGTCGAGCCAGACCTCAAAGTCTATGGCTCGACCCTCAGCGTCAAAAGCGAGGACACTAGGGGTGGCCATGACGACAGGCTAGCAGTGCAAGCAGTGGTGGGGGGGGACGGGCACGCAGTAGCAGTGGGGCTGTGCTCACCAGACAAGGCAGGTCGGGCGACTCGGCAGTAGAGCGGCTCGGCTGCGGGGCGGCTCGGCGGCTGGGCTGCTCGGCGGCTCGGCGGCTCGGCGGCTCGGCGGATCGGCTGCTGGGCGGCTCGGCGGCTGGGCGGCTCGGGTGGTGGGCGGCTCGGCGGCTCGGCTGCTGGGCGGCTCGGCGGCTGGGCGGCTCGGCGGCTCGGTTGCTGGGTGGTCCGGCTGCCGAGCGGCTCAGCTGTACCGCGGCTAGGCGGCTCGGCTCCTCCGGTACTAGGTGGCGCGGCGGGCGGCTGCTCGGGTGCACGCTGCAGGGTGGTGCAGTGGGCGGCGGCTCGGGTGGCGCTGCAGAGGAGGAGAGCGGCGGGGCCGCTTAGCAGAGGGCGGCGGGGCCGCGAAGGAAGGGCGGCGGGGCCGCTAAGGAGAAGCGGCGGGGCCGCGAAGTGCAGGGCGGCGGGGCCACTGAAGGAAGGGCGGCGGGGCCGCGAGGTGCAGGGCGGCGGGGCCGTCGAAGCAGGGCGGCGGGCCGTCGAAGCAGGGCGGCGGGGCCGCTAAGGAGAAGCGGCGGGGCCGCGAAGTGCAGGGCGGCGGGGCCGCTAAGGGAAGGGCGGCGGGGCCGCGAGGTGCAGGGCGGCGGGGCCGTCGAAGCAGGGCGGCGGGGCCGTCGAAGCAAGGCGGCGGGGCCGTCGATGCAGGGCGGCGGGGCCGTCGAAGCACAGCGGCGGGGCCGTCAAAGCAGGGCGGCGGGGCCGTCGAAGTTGGGCGGCGGGGCCGTCGAAGCAGGGCGGCGGGGCCGCAAAGGAAGGGCGGCGGGGCCGCTATCGAAGGGCGGCGGGGCCGCTTAGCAGAGGGCGGCGGGGCCGCGGTCGAAGGGCGGCGGGGCCGCTAAGGAAGGGTGGCGGAGCCGCGATCGAAGGGCGGCGGGGCCGCTAAGGAAGGGCGGCGCGACGGGCCGCTAGGGGCGACCCGACGGGTCGCTAAAAAAAAAGGAAAACGCGCCTCGGGGCGCGCTTCGGTGGGCCCTAGAAGCAGTCCCTAGGAGGGAACCTGCTCTGATTCCATGTGAAAGAAAGAACGAGGATGAAATGACTATGAACGAAGTGAGTACAAATAGGAAACCCTAATTGGGTTGTACCCCCTATGGGATACCCCACTATAGCCTACACAAATAAGTAAGCTATAATGTTCTGACAAACCTAGCTAGTCATGTACTCTGAGGGGTACATTCCCTTAGGGTAAATTGCACTGAGGACACATGTCCCAATCGACGTGTCCCAATCGAGTGTACCGCTTCGAACCGAACTAAACCAGAGACGCGAAAATTTCGAATCTAGGGTGCAATTTGGTGTAATACGATGCAGTGCGGTAGAAACGATTGGGACACATCGATTGGGACATGTGTCCACAGCGGAATGTACCCTTATTACCCGTCATACCCCGGATATACCCCCATGGGGGGCAATAATAAAGCAGGTTTTTTTAGGGGGGTGGGCTTATAATCGAGTAAATTTATAAGCGCCGGCGTTTATTAAATGACATACCGTCACCCCCCGGATATACCCCCATGGGGGGCAATAATAAAACAGGTTTTTTCAAGGGGGTGGGCTTATAATCGAGTAAATTTATAAGCGCCGGCGTTTATAAAATGACATTCATATTTTTTATATTGTTTAACACCAAACTGTAGGTCTCGTGCTTGCCCTTTCAATCGAGTCGAATTTACATGGGGTCGTCTGTGAAATTCTCGCGCGCGCTGGGAGACACACCCAATCTGACTCACATCCAGCTCCTGACAGCTCCTGCTGACTGGACCCGCATCCAGTGCAGGGTCCGAATGTGAAGGGAACCGAATCTGCAACATATCTGCCTGCTAAAGTAAAAATCATTACAACGTTTTGTACACATTTCAAATTTTAAAGTTTACGTGCGCTTATAATAAAACTAGTTTTTTCAGGGGGTGCGCTTATAATCGAGGAGGGGATATAAGCGCCATATGCCAATTAGAAGCGCCAGGCGCTTATCCTAGGGTGGCGCTTATATCCGGGGGGTGACGGTATATGTTTTTATATATTTTTGAACACCATACTTTAGATCTCGTGCTTGCCTTTTCAATCGAGACGAAGTTACATGGGGTCGTCTGTGAAATTCTCGCGCGCGCAGGGAGGTACACCCAATCTGACTCACATCCAACTCCTGACAGCTCATGACAGCTCCTGCTGACTGGACCCGAATCCAGTGCAGGGTCCGAATGTGAAGGGAACCGAATCTGCAAAACATCTGCCTGCTAAAGTAGAAATCGTTAAAGCGTTTTGAACACATTTAAAAAAAAAATAAGTTTACGTGCGCTTATAATAAAACAAGTTTTTTCAGGGGGTGCGCTTATAATCGAGCAGGGGATATAAGCGCCACACACCAATTAAAAGCGCCAGGCGCTTATCCGAGGGTGGCGCTTATATCCGGGGTATGACGGTAACTGAATTGCATTGCTACTGTGGCCACGACTATTGCCATTCTAGACAGTTACCATGTTGTACTTTCGCAACTGCCTTGTGCGGTTACTGGGCAGTCAAGGGTCACGACCGTTGACTCGTCTTCGACTGTTGACCTTCGGGTGACCCTTGACATTCCGCGTGTTCTATACGAGCTCATGCAGTACTGACACAGCTGCTTGCTTCGTTACGAGAAGACTCGACAGTGGGTAACCTTCGGGAATGTTTATGATAACCTTTCGGTTATTCCAACAAACAGGGCCATGAAACTTTGCCATAACAGATCATGGCATTCTGAACACAAATACCAGAGTTGGCCTGAGGCCTCATGATGCCTTAAATCATAGTAAAGGGCCTGGTTTAGGTAAACACAGTAACCCCAGGGGCGAGCTGAAGGCATAGTAGCGTGAGAGTGATGAGCAGGCGACCACAGACAGCTGGCCGCACGGCGAGGTGGCATGAGGGCGAGGCGAGGTGGGGCGGCATCAGAACTCATCCTCGCTGTCTGGCACGACCTCCTGCATACACCATGCACCATGCAGCATGCAGCATGCACCATGCACCATGCAGCATCCACCATGCACCATGCAGCATGCACCATGCACTATGCACCATGCGCCATGCACCATGCACCATGCACCATGCACCCACCCAGCACACATGCACACATGGTGGGACGGAAGCGCCATGTGCGCTGGCGGGCTCATTGTGCCCACACAGTGCAGGCAATGACGGCAGGGAATGCTCGTCGTGCTTAGTAAGGCCCGACAATTGAAGACAGGGCATGCATGTGATTGCAGCATGAGTGAGAAGCAGAGGGGTGCCTACCACGATGATTGTGCCTACCACGATGGTTGTGCCTACCACGATGGTTGTGAGGTCGTCCTGCGGAGGGCTGACGTCCCAGCGGTACAGATGGCCATCGGCGCAGCAGCAGATGACGATGCTGCACGCACCACCATGCACACAAGCACCACCATGCACACACGCACCACCATGCACACACGCACCACCATGCACACACGCACTGCTGTGAGCGGCGCAGAGAGCCTGGCAGGGGAACTCATGTCCTTGGACCACTTGGATAGGTGCTGCATGAGTGTTGCATGCACGAGCAGCGATGCTGGACAGGTACGGTGCAGTTGACATGTGCGCTCACCTGGCATCATGGGCTCACCTCGCATCATGGGCTCACCTCGCATCATGGGCTCACCTCGCATCATGGGAAAGCGCAAGGGCTATTATTGGCGCTTTGGTGGGTGGGCGCAGGCTGCAAGGCAGAGAGGCAGTGCGGGGGAGGACGTGTGTGATGAGAATGAGGATGACGCATTATCACACGAGTAGCAACAGGTGCAGTGGTGCACGCGCGCATGGAGGAGGTTCAATTATTGCACTCACATGCTGTGACGACCCACCATGTGATGACCCACCATGTGACGACCCACCATGTGATGACCCACCATGTGATGACCCACCATGTGACGACCCACCATGTGATGACCCACCATGTGACGACCCACCATGTGACGACCCACCATGTGACGACCCACCATGTGACGACCTACCATGTGACGACCCACCATGTGATGACCCACCATGTGATGACCCACCATGTGATGACCCACCATGTGATGACCCACCATGTGATGACCCACCATGTGATGACCCACCATGTGATGACCCACCATGTGCTGCACCCACCTGAACTGGTGTGAGGGGTCGGCCACTTTCACGACCTTCACTTCACTCGTGCCGCTCCCTGCCATCACGACCCCAGCCACCGCAACGCATGGAGGGGTGACTTCATCGTGGGATGATGAGCAAGCATTAGGAAAATAGCACAACCCCGCCAAGAGCTACCACTCTTAATGCCGCCCACTCGCTTGCTTGAGGCTTTCGTTTTGCTTTTGCTTAGGGCTGCCCGCAGCTCGCTTCTGGCAGTGCGCTCAACCATGCAGTGCGCTCAACCATGCAGTGCGCTCAACCATGCCGTGCAGCATCAGAGCTCATCATGTGTGAAGAAACACACGCGGTGGAATGCAATGGAATGCAGCTGAACGACACGCTCTGCAGTGGACTGTGGTGGAGTGCAGAGGAGTGGAATGTGGTTGAATGCAGCGGAATGAAGTGGAATGAAGTGGAGTGAAATGCAATGGAGAGCAGAGGAGTGTGGTGGAACGTGACGGAAACTGGAATCGCCCAGAGAAATGCGGTGGAATGCGGCACGTGGATCCCCACACACACAAGCATGCCCACTGGGCGACCTACGGAGGGCGAGGAAGCGCCGTGCTGCCGTCATGGCGAAGCGCGGGGGGCGTGGACGAGAGGGTGCGTTGTGAGTGGAGTTGTCAACAGCGGGTGGGTGGGCAGCAGAGAGCGGAGGCGTGTGCAGGTGGAGGAGTGTTTGAGAGGTGCCCTGTGGGTGAGGAGGTATGGATGCATGGCAGGACACGGGCATGCAGTGGTTGAGATGGCATGCGATGGGGGCATGAGATGGCAAGAGATGGCAGTCATAGTGGATAAACAGATGCGGGAGCAAGGCATGGCATGGCACGGCATGGCATGGCATGGCATGACACAGCACGGAATGGCATGGCATGGCATGGCACGGCATGGCATGGCATGGCATGGCACGGAATGGCATGGCATGGCATGGCACGGCATGGCATGGCATGGCAGCACGATGCAGAGCCAACAAGGATACAACAATTTGTGGTGACCATGTGAGCAGCACAGTGAGCAACACAGTGGGCGGCACAGTGAGCAACACAGTGGGGGCCACAGTGAGCAGCACAGACGTTGCGTGCTGCCGCATACACACCTCCTTTATGTCGAGCCCGGGCATGAAGGTCCACCGCCACAGCAGCACTGCGCCTGTCGTGCACTGCAGCACGCACCACACACCATACTCATCCTCAGCAGGCATGATGGTAAGGCGGGTGCCTCATGAACAACCATCAATGTACGGCAGTGACATGCACTGCCGCTGTTATAAGCGCAGCAGCAGCACTGCCATTCACTCGGAAGTAGCAGCACAGATGACGGTGCAAGAGTGGGTGAGGGTGGGCACGGAAGTGGCAAGGCTGAGAGCAGACGTCACCATTGACACAAAGTGGCTCCCGTACGTGGCGCCTTGCTGCACTGGCGCTGCGTGCACCCTCGCTGCCACGAAGCCCTGCCGACACAGCAAGAGGTAGAGGAGGGCGCACAGCCTCGGGGAGTGAGAGATGGTGCAGCAGAGACCGGCAGGACGACTTGCAGCAAGCACTGACCGGCAGGACGACTTGCAGCAAGCACTGACCGGCAGGACGACTTGCAGCAAGCACTGACCGGCAGGACGACTTGCTTGGTGGGGAAGTCAGAGGGCCTTCCCGTCCACTCCGCTGCCCCACGCATGAGATGCATTTGCTCTGCCACGCCCCGCACACGGTGTGCATGAGTGAGGATGAGAACGGAAAACATAATCTGAGAAATGGAGCACAAGATGAAACTTCACTCACACCTCCCAGGTCCCACTCACCTCCCAGGTCCCACTCACCTCCCAGGTCCCACTCACCTCCCAGGTCCCACTCACCTCCCAGGTCCCACTCACCTCCCAGGTCCCACTCACCTCCCAGGTCCCACTCACCTCCCAGGTCCCACTCACCTCCCAGGTCCCACTCACCTCCCAGGTCCCACTCACCTCCCAGGTCCCACTCACCTCCCAGGTCCCACTCACCTCCCAAGTCCCACTCACCTCTGAGGCCCCACACACCTCTGAGGTCCCACACACCTCTGAGGTCCCACACAGCCACTCTGCCGTCTTCCCCCGCCGTCACCACGGTGGTGCCTTCGATGCCACTCACGTCCTGCCCTGCCCCCACGGGTCAAGCAGGTCAAACGGGTCAAGCAGGTCAAACGGGTCAAGCAGGTCAAACGGGTCAAGCAGGTCAAACGGGTCAAGCAGGTCAAACGGGTCAAGCAGGTCAAACGGGTCATGCAGGTCAAACGGGTCATGCAGATCAAACGGGTCATGCAGGTCAAACGGGTCAAACAGGTCAAACGGGTCAAACGGTTCATGCAGGTCAAACGGGCCAAACGGGTCAAACAGGTCAAACGGGCCAAGCAGTGATGTATGCAGATGCGAGACACGGAGAAAACAAAGAGGCAGAGACAAGGAAATGGAAAAGGAGCATGACTGCCCCCTGCCATGCGCCCCACCCCCCTGCCATGCGCCCCACCCCCCTGCCATGCGCCCCACCCCCCTGCCATGCGCCCCACCCCCCTGCCATGCGCCCCACCCCCCTGCCATGCGCCACGCCCCACTCCCCCCCCTCCCCTCTCCCCTCCCCCCCCGTGTGGGCGCACCACGGAGAGCACGGGTGTGCGGTGGAGGCCCAGGAGGATGGCGCAGCACACGGCGCTGCCCACATGCCACACCCACACCGACGTGTCCTGGCACGCCGTGCAGGGCACGCATGGGGGGCAGCAGCACAGCGAGCAGGGATGCAAGTGAGAAGGGGTGTTGGTGAGAAGGAGTGACGGGAAGAGACACTGCTATAGAGGGAGGTGGAGCGTGAGCAGTAGAAGGCGGTACGAGGGAACAGGCATGTGAGCAGGAAGAGGTGGGAGGGGGGGAGTGGAGGAAATTGGCGATCCCACACCAGCTGTGTGAGCATGCGTCGTGTTGCGAAGCTGATGGTGGGTGTGGGGAGTGAGGTCGAGGGTGAGTCAGTGAGGTTGAGTGTGAGGCAGTGAGGTTGAGTGTGAGGCAGTGAGGTTGAAACGTGTGACTCACTTTGCTGGCAGAGAGGAGAATGGACGGCTGAGATGGATGCGCACAGAGATCCGTGATGGCATCCCCCTGCCCCATTAGCGTCTGCATGACCGCCCGATCAAAGATGGCGTGGCATGGGATAGCACAAGATGGCATGGGATGGCATAAGAGAGCAAGACATGTGTTCACATGCAAGAGACATGTGTTCACATTCAAGAGACATGTGTTCACATGCAAGAGACATGTGTTCACATTCAAGAGACATGTGTTCACATTCAAGAGACATGTGTTCACATTCAAGAGACATGTGTTCACATTCAAGAGACATGTGTTCACATTCAAGAGACATGTGTTCACATGCAAGAGACATGTGTTCACATTCAAGAGACATGTGTTCACATGCAAGAGACATGTGTTCACATTCAAGAGACATGTGTTCACATTCAAGAGACATGTGTTCACATTCAAGAGACATGTGTTCACATTCAAGAGACATGTGTTCACATTCAAGAGACTGACCACCAGCATGCATGCAAACCATGCGGCACGGCTGGCACACCTTGAAGGGGCGGCGCGAGTGGAAGTCGACGATGCGCACCACACCCAGCTCGCCGCCCGCCGCCACCAGCACTCGCCCCTCCTCGTCCACCACCCACGCCACCGCTGCATACCTCTCCATCCCCCTCGCCTGCACTCACATGGGACGACGCCAGACAAGCAAGCGAGCAGAGAGGCATGCAAGCAAGTGTGAGTGCAAAGAGTAGAAGAAGGGTGTGCTTAGGCAAGGGAAAAGCAAGGCGCTCCATATCGTAAATTACGACCGTATTTTTGAAATTTTACCGTAAATTACGGTATCGTAATTTACGGTCGTAAATTACGGTAAAAAACGGTTTGACGTTGCAAAATTAGGTTGGTTCAAAAATACGGTCGTAAATTACGACCGAAAGTTTGAAACCGAGTTTGTGTATAGCGAATTTCAACATTTCCCAACCGTCAACCTGTTCGTGAGAATTTTTGTGGCCCCAAACCCACTCGAGAGTGTTTTTTTTCCCGAGTCGCGAGTGTCAGCAAAATCTCGAGGCGCGACATTGTGCATTTTGGTGACAGTTTAACAGGTTTGTTGCCCATTCGCACACTCGTTTGTGTATTTCGCCGAATCGCAAATGTACAAATTTGTGCGACGCGCCAAATTGTACATTTGGCGAACGGATAACACAGGTCTACCCGTTTCGCCAAGTCGGTGGGTCGTTTCGCGGCCCGTTCGTTTTTTTCGCCCGCATGCGCTACTCAACTCAATTTCGACACTGCAAAACCATTCCAACCAATAGCGTTCGTCTTCATCCCTTCCATCTCATCCCTTTTGCATATTCCATTTGCCAACGCAACACCACCAAGTTAAACCAGGGCAAAAACCACCATTCTGTAGTGTAGTATGTTGTCGCCTTCCTTGTCATCGTTGTAAGCTTTCAAGGAATTTCTGGAAAAAAAAAATCCGCAAAAAATGTCCATTTAAAAAACGACCGTATTTTTGCCAAAACCACCGTAAATTACGACCGTAATTTACGAGCCGTAATTTACGTTTACCGTATTTTTGAACCTTGCTTCAGTTCGAGGGAATGCACTTCAGTTCGAGGGAATGCACTTCAGTTTGTGCGCACCTCAGCTGCTTGGGCCATGTGCGCTCCTGCCCACCCTCACCCACTCGCAGGCAGCGGTGCCCCACATGGAGAGTGCGGTTACCGCTCGCAGTGCCACTCACCTACGTACCTGGTTACCACATGTTACATCAGCTGTGGGCGCTTCAGGGCTGTCCGCGTTAGGCTCACTCGCCCCTGTGGGGGGCGGGGTCGGCCCTGTGGTGGATGGAGCCGCATCCAACGGCCGTGCCGCCTCCTCGGCCGCCCTTTCCTGCCCACGGGTGGCATGGCATGCACGGTGCAAGGGCTGGGATTGACAAAAACAAGAGAAATCGCCCTACGGTATGCCAACCACTTGTTGCCTTGTAAGAGTCGTGCTGGGGTGGGTGCGCTTGTGTGCACTCACGGTGGGGGGGAAGTGGAAGAAGGTGTGTGTGTGTGCACTCACGGTGGGGGGGAAGTGGAAGAAGGTGTGTGTGTGTGCACTCACGGTGGGGGGGAAGTGGAAGAAGGTGTGTGTGTGTGCACTCACGGTGGGGTGCAAGTGGAAGAAGGTGTGTGTGTACGCAATGGAGCCGTCCGCCTTGCACTCCAGCAGCATGAGCTGCGCGGGCAGTGGCACGCACACAGCCAGGGAGACAGACCCGAACATCAGGCACTTGCACTTCAAGGGGGTTCTGGATCAAGCTGTGCAGAGAGGGACAAGAGAAACAGGCACCATGGCGGGCAGTGCACACGTGGCGGGCAGTGCACACATGGCGGGCAGTGCACACATGGCGGGCAGTGCACACATGGCGGGCAGTGCACACATGGCGGGCAGTGCAAACATGGCGGGCAGTGCACACATGGCGTGAAAGTCACCATGTTTGCAGAGACGCATGCGAGGTGGTTGCGATAGCGGGGATGCCACGTGTTGAAGGCCATGGCGGATGGAGTCTCGCCATCGTGGTCCCACACGAACGGTGCCTGCACGCACGTGGGAGCAACGCGAGGGAGCAAGACATGCATTGCAAATGAAAGAATGTGTGGAAACAGAGTTGGCAGAAATCATTGCAAGCGCAATGTCCTTGGTTCTTTCCGAGAACATGGACCAGCAAACGCAAGGGAAAGCGCTAGCAGCGCCGCAAAAGGGAACCCCTGACGCACTCGAAGTGAGGCTTGCGGCGGCTGCCAGGCCGCCTCCGTCGCTGCCATGCGCCGCTGCTGGCTCGCCGGGGAATGCGCGGAGACGCGAGAGGCTGGGCGCGGCGTGGCAGGTGCGGGAGGCGGGAGGCGCGCGACGAGCCGGCGGAATGCAGCCTGAGCTCGCTAGCCCGCTCTGCGCGTCGCCGACACGCGCAACGCAATATCGCGGCGTGAAGCGCGGTGAGGTGGGGGAGAAACGGACACTGCGGGAAGAGGGATGACGGGAAGGAGAGGGGAGGGCGGGATGGAGGGAGTTGACGCAGTTGGCAGTGGAGCTCGCAACGGCGATGGTGCCTGAACGCTTTTACCTCGGGTTTCGCGATCCGGAATCAAACGACTGCTACCCAGACCCCACACGTTTCGCCTTCTGGGAGCAAGAGTGAGCGACAGAAGCCCCAAGTCGCTCGAAATCACCTCGCAATGACGTCAAACTCCTGCTCCAACTTGCTGCGCGAGACCACAATATTTTGAAAATGCGACCGTTAGGGAAACTGTGTTGTATACCCGTTTTAGGACGCGATACCCGATTTGGCGAGTGAACTTTGATATCCGAAGCATAAGCCTGAAATCCCATTTCTTGACTCTGGAAAATGGATTTAAGAAATTGCATTTGGAGGATTTAGAATCACTTCACGTGACAGCACCTGGAGCTGTACAGAATACAGTACCTGTCATGCTGGCGAAGGTTTTGGGAAAATATGCCACAAGGGTCTAGATAATTTGTTTGGTAAAAACAAAAAACGGATACGGTCAAAGGAAATTGTGATTTCACGTGTTTGATAAAGCTTTTCACGAAATCAGTCACAATCAACTGGGAAAAAAAAACCGCGAATGGTCACAGATGAAACTCCCGCCCAAAAAAAATAATACCCAAAACGAACCTGGATGCATTTTCGGATGAATCAACCCTAAACACAATTCGCCAGATGTTTAGGGTCGATCCGTTCCCAAACCGCATCCAATTCCGATTGGGTTTTAGTTTTTTTTAGAAGTTAGCTGATTGGTTGGACGCGAGCGGGAATATTGTAGAGTTTCAAGAAATTTTGGCGGGAGGGTACTGTGGAAAAAAGAACGAGAATGAATGCAATATGAAAGAGTTGGGTACAAATAGCAAAACCCTAATTGGGTTGTACCCCCTATGGGATACCCCACTGTAGCCTACACAATAGCATAAGCTACATATATGTTCTGACACACCCCCATAGGCAAAGTGGGGGAGAACAAGGGGTCACAAGACCAGTCAAGCAAAGCAAAGCAAAGCCCAGGGTGGATCACAAAGTCACCACACAGTCCGAGCACAAGAGCAAGGCCACAAGGCCAGTTCACATGCAGGAGTACATACATATATATATAAAGCTAGACAAGCAAGAGCAGGTATATATATGTGACAGTACAAGTAAAGTCAAGAGGAGAGAAAGTGAGGCAAGACAGGCACAAGACCCAGCTGGGTGCAGAAGCGCTGATGGTCACAAGGCGCGAGTGCCTTGGTGAACACATCAGCAGTGTTGGCCTCAGAGGCCACGTACGCAAGCCGCAACTGTCCACGCTGCTGTAGCTCACGAGCAAGGAAGTAGCGAAGAGCAATGTGCTTCGTTCTGTGCTCCAGACGCTGCTATCGACACAAGGCCAGCATGGCCTTGTTGTCGACGTACAGCACTGGAGGAGAACGAGGCGGCTCTCCAAGGTCAGTCAGCAGGTAGGTGAGCCAGCGAAGCTCCTGTGCAGCCATGGCCCCTGCGTAGATCTCAGCCTCACAACTCGAGCTGAGAACCGAAGACGAGCGAGTAGCCCGCCACGAGACAGAGCCGGAGCCAAGGCTGAAGGTGTAACCCTGTGACGACCGCTGCGTAGCCTGGTCGTCAGCCCAAGAAGCGTCCGCGTGACCTGTAAGTACCACTGGACTCCGCCCTCCAAGCACTAGACCCATGCCCGACGTACTGCACAGGTAGCGCAATACCCTCTTCGCTGCAGCCATGTGCTCTGGTCGGTGTCTCCCAGGAGCAACATAGCGTGCAAGAATGCTAAGAGGGTATGCAAGGTCAGGTCGTGTGCAGGTCATCAGGTACATGAGGCAGCCAACAAGCTCTGGGTACGGGCCACTCGAATCTACGGACTCATCCGAAGGCAGAGCTGAGAGCGAGTGACGAGTAGACAGAGGAGTGGCCTGAGGCGAGGAGTACGTGAAGCCGAAGCGCTGAAGGACCTGCTGCACCATGTGTGACTGAGTCAAGGTAATGGTGCGGCGTGCTCTGTCCCGAGTGATCTGCAAGCCAAGGTAGCTGCGCAGTTCACCCAGGTCAGTGCACGTGTGTCTCTTCTGCAGCTCGGACTTCACGTAGGCGAGTCCAGCAGTGTCCGCTGTGGCAAAGACCAAGTCGTCGACGTACACGAGGATGTAGAACGGCGGCAGTGAAGTGTCGGTGCGCAGAAACAGCGACGGGTCAGCAGTAGAAGGAGCAAACCCAAGGGCCGCAAGCGTAGTCCTCAGTGTGTCGTGCCACTCACGTGGTGCCTGGCGAAGACCGTAGACTGGCCGTCGGAGGCTCCACTGGGTGCCAGGAGGGAAAGTCCCAGTGAAGCCAGGTGGACGGCGCAGCCAGATCTCCTCGTGCAGGCTCCCCTGCAAGAACGCAGTACTGAAGTCGAGAGAGTGAAGCTCGTAGTCGCGCTGAGCGGCTATGTGCAGTAGCACCCGAAGAGTGGTACTCTTCGGGGTGGGAGAGAAGGTCTGAAAGTAGTCAACTCCCTGCCGTTGACTGAAGCCACGAGCAACGTACCGTGCCTTGAAGATAGGTGGAGAGCCCGGCGGCCGCTTCACCCTGAAGATCCACATGCCACTGACGATGTTCGCCCCAGGAGGGGGAACCGCGTCAACGTAGGTGCCTGTGGACTTCCAGGAAGCCATCTCTGCATCCATAGCTGCCTGCCACTGAGAGGAGTAGGGACCCTCTACGGCCTCCGCGTAAGAGCGCGGAGTCGGGATGTCTAGTGCATCCGGGTCTCCCTCAGGAGCAAGCAGTACAGACGCGAGATGAGGTGAAGCAGCAGCCAGACACTGGAACTCCTCCTGCCTGTCCTCTAGGACGTCCGTGCCAAGAGCACACTCACCCCCAACGGACGGAGGACAGACAGACGCAGACTCAGCAACAAGACTAGCAGCGTAGTCTAGACGACAGCGAGCAGCAAAGTCGACGAGCTCAGCGACAAGAGCAGACGCAGCAGCGGACTCAAAAGAGGGGTCAGTGACGACAGTAGCAAGCAGACGCGTGACAGTAGGACTGGCAGCACGAAGGGAGTCCGACTCTGGGTCGGTAAGCACAGGAAGGGAGGACTCAGGAGGAGAAGGCAAAAGGGCACGCAGAGGAGCAGTGGACGGACGCAGAGACATCCGGTGCGTGCCAGGGACAGGAGGAGGACGCGGACGCGAACCACAACCACTAGCGCGGGCAGCACGAACAGGCGACGCGGGACGAGACGCAGGCTCACGACGCTCAGCAAGACCTCTAGTAGGACCAGTGTAAGGAGAGGGAGCAGGCAGTGGGGAGGTAGGCTCCAACAGTGACTGCGACTGGACAGGCTGTGGACACTCTACCGGAGGAGAAAGACCAAGAACCTGCTGCAGAAGCGGAACGAAGTACGGCCGAGGCCGCGCGGCAGCTCCAGACTCAGCAGGGACAGCACCAACACCCTCAGCGGCAGCACCAGCGCCACCAACACCTCCAGCGGCAGTACCTCCAGCACCACCAGCAGCAGAACCACCGTTAGGACAGACAGCAGCAGACTCAGCACCAACGCCCTCAGCAGCCCCAGCTCCAGTAGGACCCGCAGGCGTAGCACCTCCGGGACCGGCGGCACTAGCACCCTCGACGGTCGAAGAAGCTCCAGCTCCAGCAGTACGCCTCCAGCGGCGAGCAAACCACTCGCGCAGCTCCTGTGGAGAGAGGGGCTCCCGCCGAGACGCAGCACCAGGAGAAACCCCAGGCTCAGCGGCTCCAGACGTAGCACCCCCAGGCTCAGCAGCTCCAGACGTAGCACCCCTAGGCTCAGCAGCTCCAGACTCAGCACCCCCAGGCTCAGCAGCTCCAGACTCAGCACCCCCAGGCTCAGCAGCTCCAGCTCTAGTAGGACCCGCAGGCCCAGCAGCTCTGGGACCGGCAGCACCAGCACCCTCAGCAGTCGAAGGAGCTCCAGCTCCAGCAGCACGCCTCCAGCGGCGAGCAAACCACTCGCGCAGCTCCTGTGGAGAGAGCGGCTCCCGCCGAGACGGAGCAACCGGAGAGCCCCCAGGTCCAGCAGTCGCAGGCTCCGCACCTCCAGGCTCAGCACCCCCAGGCTCAGCAGCTCCTGACGTAGCACCCCCCGGCTCAGCACCACCAGCAGCAGCACCCCCAAGCTCAGCACCCCCCGGCCTCGCACCCCCAGGCTCAGCACCCCCAGCAGCAGCACCCCCAAGCTCAGCACCCGCAG